TATATATATGTTTCACACATGAACGTGACATTCAATGTCACACAGCTGTTAGCGACAACCATGTCGCGTTATGACGTCGTTTAAATGCGGTATCGTATAGCAATCGCGAGCGCCCCCAAGTAGTTGCATTATTATGCGAGATTATGCTCGTGACCTATACAGCATACTGCATAAAGCCATCACAGATGTCCGCCTCGCTCTGCGATGCATAATTCTGATTTATTAAGTGTGAATTCATTGAGGTCGCCAGACCTCGCACATCATAAGCGCCACGGGCACTTGGAACGGTTCAATAATAAAATCACAGTAAATAAACACGAGATGTATTTACTACCAAATAAGTCTGAATGTTTCGTGACTCTCCGTTTTTGCCTGTTATTACTGATAATTTCCTGTAAATGCCGTTCAAATGCTCCTCTGCAACACACAAGCACACCGCACGCACGCCGCTGTGCACAATTACAGTAACGCACGGCATCTAAAGGACATTTTCGGCAATAATCGGCGAAAGAGAGTAAAGAAACATTAAGACGTTGGTAGTAAATACATTTCGTGTTTATTTACTAGCATTTTATAATTGAAACGTTTCAATTGCCTGTGATACCAGGCCTATGTGTAATGGCTTGTGTTTGCGCACGCGTGCGTGCGTGCGTGTACGTGCGTGTGCGTGCACGCGACGATGCTCCTGCCTACGTGAATCATATCGGCGTGTCGTACGTCACGTCGGAATCAAGTGCGTTCACCTCTCGGTTAGAATGAGCAAGAATCCTTACTAGAAATACGATCAACGCCCGCAACACTGCAGTCGAACGATCACTGCTAGGAGTGCATGTACTGCGTGGGTGGCGTAGGCGCCGTAGCTAGAAGTAAACGTGCGTTTCACAGAGATCGTTTTATTTGAACATGTCGGCTACGAATACCTTCACGCAACTGTTGTTATTCTCTTTGCTCTGTTACGCCATACACCGCTGCCGCACGCCAGCCCGCAGGCACCTGCAAGTATTCCCTTCCGACTTGTACTACAAGGACTATACAAGTAGTTCCTGTGCGCACGTACAACGCCGCGGTCTGCTTTTTTTCCGGCGGTCCGATTCCTGTGTTCATCCGCGCTGGAAAAAAATGGCCCGCGTCACCGCCGCGTTAGACGCACGTGACGTCACACGCGACCCACGAATAGAAAGCGGTCAAGACATAATAAACTCCGCGTAGAGGAGTTTTTCAGGTGTTTTCTGTGCGGGGGGAGGGGATGACGAAATGGTATTTATTCCGCTGAGGGCGGGGTGATTTCTGTGGGGGGAGGGGATGACGAAATGGTATTTATTCCGCTGAGGGCGGGGTGATTTCTGTGGGGGGAGGGAATGACGGAATAGTATTTATTCCGCGGAGGGCGGGGTGATTTCTGTGGGGGGAGGGGGTGACAAAAGAGTATTTATTCCGCGGAGGGCGGGGTGATTTCTGTGGGGGGAGGGGGTGACGAAATGGTATTTATTCCGCGGAGGGCGGGGTG